TCGTCGTCGTCGCCGCCGCCGTCGACGTTGTTGGGCGGTTCCTCGCTGTCGACAGGGCTGCGGGCGTCGCCGTTGCCGGCCTGCAGGGGCTCCTTTGTCTTGTTGGCGCCCTTTTTCTTCTTGTTGGCCTTCTTCTTGGGCGCTGCGCGTGCGTGAGCGCCTGAGGTACGTGGTCAATGGGGGGTCCGACGCTGGCGCGGCCTACCTGGACTGGACGCCGCCTGGGTCGGCTCCGTGGCCGCCGTCGACGACATGTCTGGGGATCGCGTGCGGGAGGTTGGCGGTGACTAGAGGAGCCTCATCGGTGCGCGTGGTGGCCGCCCGGTGCGCGTCGTTGGCAATGCAATGGTTGCTTGCCCCCTTGCGTCTGTCGAGGTGAGGGTCGTTCGGTGCGGGAAGCGAGGTGAGGCTCAGCGGGACGACAAAGGCCTACACTGACGGCCAAAGAACGCAAGTGGAACGTGGAGCTTTAGCGTGCGGCCACGAACCACACCCGAGCGCCCCAAGGTTGGTGTCCACTGTCGAGTGCTGGAGCGACTCTCTCAGCGGCAGACGTGCAGTGGCCAAGGCTCCGGCGTCGTCACCTCAGCGATGACGGTTTCAGAAAATGCATGTGGTCGCACACGTCTATTCCACGCGCCTGTTGCAATCAATTGATGGGCTTTGCTGTTGCGCGAATGACCCCGTTCATGCAGGCGTGTGTTCGTGACGAGGCGCTTGGGCTGGGTGCCGGCTCCTGGAAGTAATGTCTTCGTGGCACGATGCCGTCTGAGAGCGCTGCAAGTGGCCACTGCACAGCCCGTCACCGAAACTCAGAACCTGCCCGGAACTGGATACGAAGCCCGTCACACACATGCTGCACAGTTGCAGGTAAACGTCGAAACCTCTTCACACGACCACGACATGGACGGCCCACCGTCCACAAATCCCAATCACGGCGCTTGGAGATTCCCTCTTCACCTCGTAGGGTTGTGACACGGGCTTGCGCTCGCTTGACAAGATGTCGCTCGTGTTGCGTCTGCCAGTGGGCTTCGGGCGTCGTTTGACGGTGGGCACAGGGATTAGTCAGAGCGCTGGACCCCCGTCAAATTTGTCTCGCCGACGCGACGGTGCCAACTTTCCCTTTCCTTCTCTTCATCTTACAATCACCTTCGCTGCCACGCTATTGAACTGGATCACAACTCCCGTGGCTTGTTCACAATCTGGTGCGAAGCAGATCGTCTCGCCTTTCATAATCCCATTGCTTGCTCCTTACTCTCCGTGAGTGCTCTGGGTTCGCTTATGCGCGTACATGCAAAGTCAAAAAGAAAATTTCGTGGCCCTGCCACATCCCGTAACAGTGAAGAATGAAATACGCCGCATGCGCCAACTATAGATTGTGCTTGAATTACAGAGCGCCAGTTAGGCCTTTGACTTTTTCCCCTTCCCGGCTTTTGAGGTCTTCGCCTTGGTCGCCTTGGGCTTGGGTGCAGATATCGTCTTGACCTCGGCTTCCGGCTCCTCCACCTCTGCCTCCTTCTCGGCCTCATTGGCCGCCGGAGCAGCCTCAATGGCCTTGGTCTCGCCCTCGGCCTCGCCGTTCTCGATGGGCAGCGGCGCCGGCACGTCCTTGAGCGCGGGCGCCTCGAACTCGTAGCCCAGGGCCTTGAGCTTCTCGGCCTTCTTGGCGCGGCTCTCACGCTCCCTGTCCATCTTGGACGCCCAGGCGGACTCAGTGAGCGGCCTGGCCAGCTTCTGGCCCGCCATCTTGTTCCAGGGCACCTTCTTGAACCTCCGGTTGGCTCCCTTGAAGAGGTTCTCGTGGATCTGGCCCTTGGGCACCACCTTGACCTTGAGGATGTGGCCGAACAGTAGGTAGTTGTCCATGGTCTTGGCGACGATCTCGGCCGTCGTCTCCTCCTCGAACTCGACAAACGCAAAGTGCTTGCTGGCGCCCGTCTTTTTGTTGCGCGACAGGCGGAGCCGGGTGATGGGGCCGAACTGCGTCAGGTACTGACGCATCTCGTGCTCGTAGAAACCGTGGGGGATGCGGCCGATGTAGATGACGCCGCGCTCGCCCGTCGGCGCCTTGGCCGCCTTCATGACCTCCTTGGAGATGGCCGGGACCTTGCCCACGTCTTGCCCGGGCTTGAAGTCGGCCGCCTCGTCCGCGCCCTCCTCGTCTTCCGAGTCCAGCTCGTCAGCCAACAGGAGAACGCCGCCGTCCTCTTGCTGCTCCTCCGATTCTGAGTCGCCGTCGACCTGCTCGTCCTCGACCTTTTCCTCGACCGGCGCCGGCTTGGCGGCCTTCTTGGGCTTTCCCGCCTTCGCGGGCTTGTCTGCCTTCTTGGGCTTCTCCGCGACTTCCGTCTTCTTCGTCGGCTTTTGCTTCTTCAGGGACACAGGGGAAGCATCCTCGGCAGCTGCACGATAGACCGTTAGCCAATGCGACAACATTACAGCGGTGCAGCACTTCGTCTTACCCTTGCGCTTCGTCTTGGTCTGCTTCTCCATGGCCTTGGTCGCGGCTCCGTTGCTCTTTTGAGCGTCGGGAGCAGCTGCGAGGGGTCAGCGCATGGCAATTGGATACAGCGCTGGAGTCAAACCTTTTCGCTTTCTGAGTTCGGGCGCCATTTTGTCAATGTCGCGGTGTTGTGCGCTGGGAAGATGATCGACCAGCCTCACTGATGCATGGAGCAAAAAAAAAAAGATTCTGCCGTCCTGGATGGAGAGCGGTGAGGGGTGTCTGCTGTCCAGCGGCGCCGTTGGTGGGGTCGTCCAACTTTAGCGGGCTGCCAGCTCCAGGGACCACTGTGGGCAGTATTGGAACTTCTCACGGCTGGTAGCCTCAACTGAGCGGGAGCTTCACCACTCACTCTTTCTGCGTATCGACGAATGACTGGACCGCCTCAGCTCTCACACACGCCTTGCTGATAGGGAGCCTGGAAAGGCTGACCTGACCTTCCTTGAGCGTCAACGGGCCGCTGCCTCAGTAGTCAAGAACGACAAAGAGACAAGCCAGCGGGTCGTCAGCCACTCGCGGCCGCGAAGCCACTCAGATGGACGACAAAGCAGTTTGGGACGACTCTGCTCTCGTCGACTCCTGGAATGAAGCTCTAGAGGAGTACAAGGTGCGAGCTGTGCCCAAAAGCCCTGATGCAGTTACTAAGTCTGGCCAGAAATACCACAGCATCCACGCAAAAGGCGGCAGTGTCAAAGATCTTATTGCTGAGGAGTCATCGAGGTGGGCAAGACCTGCATGCCTCGCGATGCATAGCTCTGAAGCTGACATGGCATCTAGAGCCAAGGCTACGGCATCAGAAATCGGCAATCATGTTGGTGACCAGAAGGCGTCGGCGCTGCCTGATGACGAGGAAGGCGAGGCCATGTCCGTGAGTGACGAGAAGTCGGGAAAGGTGAGCTCGCTGCCTCCACTGCGCGAATCGAGGGCGATCATGTTTCTTGGTCTCCGATCCGAGGGCGTTGATGTGCATTATCGGAAGATCCTGACACAGGATAGGACGCGAGGGCCGGCAAGGCAGATCCGGCACTGCACGACGGAACAAACCAAGTTCCAGTCGCATTCCCACCACAGGCCGTCATGGGTTCAAGTAAGTCGAAGCAGGAAGCCCCGCCAAGGCGTAGGACGTTTGATGCGCGGCACGCCGCGACGAGAACGGTTTGCTGACGAGGCCTCCAGTCCAGGACGAATCCCTCAAGAGGCTCATGATGGCGTGGTACTATGCAGGATACTACACAGGTCTGTACGAGGGACAGCAGAAGTCGCAGCAGCAGCATCAAGAGTAGTACTGGCACATTCTGCAGACGCAAACGCCTGCCAGGCAACCCATGGATTCTCGCGAGACTACGATTTGGTCCAAGACCAGCGAGGCTGCACACGACAAGAAGGCATGAACCCGCACGCAAGACGAATTGCCAAGACATGCCGAGTCATCGCATCTTCAGCCGGCGACGAAGACGGGTGGTGGGATTTTGCGACACGGGGTGTTGCACCATGTCGAGGATGGAACCGCCTCGCCGATACCCCGTGCCGCGCGTGTGTAAGAGCCCAGGCGCCGGCAACAACCCAGCTACGGATGAACGGCGCTGGGGCAGCGACGGTCGCTATTATATTGCAGCAGCTGTGCCGAGATTGCGGACTTGTCTCTGGTGGCTCTTTGGACGGTCCGAACATGGTTTCACACGCAAGCATTCGGTGAGCATGGTGCCGAACCAGGACAAGGTGAAGGGATCTGACGGCTTCAACTAGCATCCGAAGTCCGTACAGCTGAAAGATGGAGTACGCCCTGTAATCGACTCATTTGTACGTCGGGCTCGGATGGCCGGCACAACGGGACCTCGAGGCCTGCAAATCGGCGCAGAGCATTCCCGCGGGAGCGAAGGCTACTCCATGCCGGAAACACCAAAATACTACGCAAAATAACCCACCTGGAAGATGTATTCATGCCGACCTCTTTGAGTGAAATGTCACGAACCAACGAAATCATAAAGCCGCCAAGTCCGCTGGTCCCCCAGGAAGCCAAGCTGTCGTCCAGACTCAAGCCAGCCTGCCAGACGGCCGCCGATAGAGTTGCGGAGAGTCGCGCCAAGAGGGGCATTGCAATTCGGCCGAAAAAGCCAAGATGAGGACGCGCGCTGGTGCGACCGCGAGGGAAGAAGCCGCGGGCAGTGCTTTTCTGTGGCGTCGACACGATGCGCAGGAGGCCGTGTTTCATCAGCGGCTTTGGCGGTTTGAGCCACGCCCTTCTTCACGGCCGAGCTCGAGCCAGGCGGGCGCCCCACGCGCAGGCCATCGTAGCACGTTCAGGTGGACGGCACTACAAGTGCGAGCTGCTCAAGCCCAGCCACGGGATTTTACCAATTTGCCTGAAGTGACTGGCTAGGCGGCCGGCCGAGAGCCATGTTGCGGAATGCCTTGTGGCTGCGGCGCTTCTGCCCTTTGGCCTACAATGGCTGCCGGCGGAGGTCTCCAACAACCAGCAACCATCACCACCAGCACATAGACCATCGCTACACCCTATGAGAGGTGCCAAAGAGACTGAAAACCCGCAAGATCCATCATCGGCTTTGACAGAAACGTTTTTTTTTTTTTTTCATTGTCAAGACTATTCACTGCAACTCAAGACTTGCGCCAGAACCACAGCATCAAGGACCCGACAGTGTCGCCCGTTGCCCGTTTAGGAAGCGACCAGGATCCTAGGGAGCAACTCCAAACGCGACGTGAGACAGACCTGTCACAGAATCCTCCCCGCCGTCCCTTGGGCTTACACGGCGCCGCACCCGCCGCGAGGCCGGATGGCCACCACCCCGAAATGACTTGATCAACCGGCAAGCACGGGCGTCTCGAGAGTCGACACGGAGGCGCCACGACGAAGGGGTGCCGCCGACCTTGGCATGGTTCGTCCAGGGGCTGGAAGCATCGCGGCCAAGGGGGCCGGGAAACATGGGACGACACCGGACGGAGGCATCCTGGAGGCTGAGCAGGCCGCCCGTCGAGGGGCTCGATATATCTTTGCCGCCTGCCTCCGCTCGTTTCTGGGTCTCGTGGTTTCTGTTTCCCCAATCCTCTCGCTCTCTCCGTCTCGGATGTTTCGTTGCTAGACCGCGTCATCTCCCCGTCTCTCTTTTTTTCCACTCTCGTCTCTTTTCACTTCTTGTAACGAGCAGGCCCTCGCCTCGACGGACATAAACGCGCTTTGATACCCTTTGAAAGGCATCCCATTGCCGGATAGTTCACGAGATTCACGACACGACATATACCCGGCGTCAGACACAAACTCCGCCATGAAGTTCTCGACGACACTGAGCCTGGCTCTCGCGCCACTGGCACTCGCCCGCAGGGTCCGTGACGTGCACCACCCTCGGTCTGAGATCGAGTCCCTCGACGAGGAGACGGGCGTCGACATCCTCGACGAGCGTGGCGTCAAGGTCATCGAAGGCATGAGGGGCGCGGGCATCACCGTCAACTCGCGCACCGAGGTCATCATCATCTGGGCCAACCCGGGAGGCGGCGCTCCCACCACGACCATCAACCAGGCCGTCACCGTCACCAAGACGGTTACCGCCGGTGGCGGTGGCCAGGAGACCAAGCCGGCCGAGGCCCGGGCCACGCACACGGTCAAGGTCGGCGGGGCCGGCGGCCTGACCTTCCAGCCGCAAGAGCTTAGCAACGTCCCGGTCGGCGACATGATTGTCTTTGAATTCGGCCAGCAGAGCCACAGCGTGACGCAGTCGTCGTTTGCCAAGCCCTGCGTGGCCCTGGCCGGCGGCATGGACTCGGGCTTCGTGCCCAACCCCAACGGCACGGTCTCGCCGCCGCCGCGGGTCGCCATGCAAGTCATGACCACCGAGGCAACGTGTAAGTCACCGACGAGGATTCGAGATACGCTCAGGCGAAGAGACGAAAACTGACACCCCCTTTAGGGTTCTACTGCAAGCAAAAGGGCCACTGCGGCAAGGGCATGGCCTTCTCCCTGAACCCTACTGCTGAGAAGACGCATGCGCAGTTCCAGGCCGCGGCCATCGCGCAGAACGGCACCGGCCAGGCGGCACCCATCGCAGGCGGCAACGGCTCCAACACGGCCAGCCCTCCTCCGGCCAGCGTGAGCACATCTGCCGCCGCGCCGGAGGCAACTGGCGGCAACGGTGGCGGGAACAACAACAACGCTGGCAACAACGGCTCCGTGACCCCCGGCCAGGGCACCGTCAACCCCGATGGTAGCTGCAGCTGCGTCGTCACTTGCTCGTCCGGCGCATTCCCCGCCCAAAACCAAGGCATCGGCTCCTTCGGCGGCATGGGAGGTGAGTACCCTGACACTCTCGGATCACAGACAAGATGCTGACACTCACTGCTCGCAGGTGCTCTGCCCCTCAACATAGCTCCGATGAAGTAATGAGGGAGAGAACAGCGGCCTGGGTGGGGCCATTGCATAGAGCGCAGTTGGTGTCCGTGTGACAAATTTTATTTTCCTTTGACAGGTTGCCTGGACGGCCCTGCTCAGCGTCCCCCAACGGACGACGGGTGTATACGTACTACATATGACTGGTTCGTATTTTAGTTTCTCGATGCAAATAATGGAATAGTCTGAGAGGAGAGAGCATCCGCGTGCCTGGAGATATGGCGTGACCTATGCTTGAGCAGAGGAGGGACCAGACCTTGGTTGCAAGTCGTCGAGCCGACGCGGAAGCGCCATCGTACATCACGGAGCCGTCACGGGAATTGTGTGTATTAAAAACGCCTACTGTATGGCCCTAAAAGCGCAGCTCATACCCATGCACCTCCGTTTCGCCAGCGCTATCCAGTGTCGTTTGTAAATGAAGAGTCCCCCGGACTTGCTCGTGGACCGCTCGAAGGAATCGCTCGTCCGCTGCCGTTGCCGCCGTATCAGTTGAGTCGTGCAGTCGTCGTCGTCGCTGGCTGATGACCGCTCGATCGGTCGCCCCTCGGCGCGCAGTGGCTGATGCGAGTCTCTGGCTGGCCCGGCTATTTCTTTCCCGCCTCGGCCGCCTTCTTGGCCTCGGCTACACATTTCGAGTTTAGTGACGGGCACAGACGATGGAACCGATGAAGGCTGGGAAGCAGCGGGAGGGACAGGGGGCGGTCGTACCAGCAGCCTGCTTCTGGCGCATAATGTCGGCGGCCGCCTCCTTTGCCTTGGCAAACTCGGTGCCGCTCATGTTGTTCTTGGATTTCTGCAGTCGCGCATCAACGTCAGTCAGCGTCTGCAGCACCTCTATCGTGCATGCTCAGGGAGACACATATGGTGGACGACGGGGCGTGGAAGGGAAAGGAGGCGCGGGAGCGGGCGGTGGGAAGGGGGGTTCGATCGGCTGTCGCGCGAGTGCGACAAGGAGAGCGACTTACAACAGAGGACGCGGCCTTCTGGGCCTTGGCACGAGCCTGGTCACGCTGGTTGCCGCGGGCCATGATGTGTGCGGATTGGGAGATGCTTCGAGCGAGGCGAGAGAGCGGTTTGTTGGGGGGGCTTGGTTCGGTGATGAGCGAGTTTGCGACCTGCTGGTGCGAGGAGACGGACGGTGAGGTGGGAGCGGCGAGGGCGAAAAAGCTGAGCGTGGCCGTGGGCGGGCGAGGCCCGTCGCGGGGCCGGCTTGATGAGAGGTTTACCAAGCGGCGGGGACGGGAGCCAATGGGGCGTCAGCGTGGCGGTGCCCTCCAGCAGGTGCCCGTCCAGCAGCGCACCTCCGGGCAGCCTGGAGGGGCTCGACTCTAGGACTGTGACCTGGCTATCTATGCCCGCCTGCCCGCCATGTTCGCCGTCCCGGTCCAGTCCCCCAGCCTAGGGGCTCCTCCGCCGGGCCCTGAAAGCGGCCGCCACCGTCGGCGCTGTGCTCCACGGCCACTTTCGCGAACCTCGAAGGGTCGCGGGCCGCTGGAATGTCGTCTGCCGTCTGCTACTATTTTGGAACGTCAAGGCGTCACTACCATAATGCGCGCTCGGCACGGGATGGCCACTGGGCGGTAAGCCTCGGCACACAGGCGCGCGCGGAGCAAATGAAGGGGACGAGCAGACGCCGTGTCACCGTCGAGCGCTGGGTGCATGGCCTGGCTTCGGATCAGTGCGTCTGTTCGAGTTGTCTACCCAGGCTGTTGGTTCCCTGGCGTTAAGCGCGATATTTTGGGTGCTCCCTAGGGCAGTATACCAGCTGTAGGGCTGGAGGCTTCGTCAAGGCTTACTGAAGTATCCGACTTGGTTCACGAGGCGCGGCGGGTCATGCACGACTGCGTCGTCAAAATATGAAGTCGACTGATGGACCAGCTTGTGCCCTCATATTGGAGAGTATAATTTGCGCCTGCACGTGCATCTGTCTGGTTGCGCAGCTTGTCTCCGCCCAGGGAGTTACAGGCGACGGGCAGCCTCACCACCTAAGGCGGGCATGATCAGGAACAAGCCGTAGGCCTGCAGCAAACAAGTTCATGCGCAACATCATAAATGGAACCCCATGCCCAAAGGGCCACAATCCGTTCTCAAGCCATCGCAGCTAGAATAGGTGCCTGAATTTTCATCAGATCAAGCGCCGCCGTCGCCGCAACAGTAACACAGTTATTGATTGCGTCTATCCGTAGGCGCCCATCTGATGGCGGCTAGCGGCCCTCGTCGCTGAAACACCTCCCACGCACTCATGCCCAATCGACGCACAGGCACGACACGGCCCCAAACGTCGTGCCGTTCCCCAGACGTTCAGCTCCACGGCACCGCGATTGGATCATGTTTGCTGCCGCCTGACTGCCCGGGTCTCGAGCAGGGCCTGCTTCCTTGCCGCGGTGAGTCCTCCCAGTTCAGGCGCGCATGCCTTGCCAGCCTGGTCATGGACCATGCCCGTGGCCACTGTGCGTCGCGACCGGGCAGGTCGGCCATGAAACACGCTGCCCTCGCCGCTGCGTCTGCGATGGCATGGCTGCGAGGGTCTGGTTGGATCTCGTTGCTCCGGACCTCTGAGCCGCCGCTTCAGGCCGTTGAGGGCCCCATGGCACCATTCTGGCGCGCTCCGAGCTCAGACGACGTCCGTTGTCCAACCCTGAGGCCGGGGCAGGCATCTTTCCAACTTGGGTCGGCATCATGTCGGAACTGGTTACATTCACTGGGCACATGCTCCTTGGGCGTTTGTCTTGCGGCTGCGCTGGTATTAAAGAACCGGTGCTGGGCCCACGCGGTGTGGCCGCCGCAACTCCATTCATGTGGTTGACAATGGCAGTGGTCAAACAATAAGTCGCCTTCCATAGTCTTTTTTCCTTCGTTTTCTTTCCTCTCTCGACTATTTCCTTGCATTCACCTTCAGCGTACATTTCACCCCCGTCTCTTTCTCAAGGACTGGATCCTCGTCACCAACATCAACGTTCCTTCTCAACTGCCTCGACGTGTCTTTACGTCTCGCTCGAAGCCTGCTAGTCAGCTTCAAATTCACAAGCAATTTTCTATAAGTTTCACCGTCAAGAGACGCCTAGCCTTCTGCTCTGTAAGTTTTTCACAATGAATCCCGCCGCGGCAAAGCGTCTGACCAGCCTCACAGCGACCCTCGCGACCATGTTGGGCATGAGCTTCGGTTCTCTCCGAGGCATCGGCATGGTCGTCCTCCAGGCCCTGCGCGTCCTCACCATCGTCACGCTGGCCGCCGTCGGTGCCTCGTGCTGGGTCCTCATCATCAAGGTCGACAAGGGCCGCGACACCTTTGTCTTCGAGTGCGCCTCTCACTTCTTCACGTCGATGCTCTCCATCGTCCTCATCGTCGCCGAGGCCCCGCTCCTCAGCATCATCAAAGACTACTTCCGCAGCACGTGGCCGGTGCTCTCCAAGGAACATGGGCTCGGCTGGCTCGGTTTCGCCATGGTCGTCATCGGCTGCAACATGCTCGGCAACCTAAACCGGCCTGCCTACGACCCCGACAACATGGGCCCCGAGTTCGCCAAGCTCGTCCTGGCGTCCTCGATCCTCTCCATCACGTTCGGAATCATCAACATCCTCGCCGCACTGGTGTGGCGCGACGGCAAGGAGGGCATCACCTCGCGAGACATCCGGTCCGACGGCTCGCTCGCCGACTCCCACCGCGAGGCGCTCCCCGACTACGCCACCAGCACGCGGACCAACACGTCCCTACGAAACGAGAAGACGCGGAGCAAGTTCGTGTCCATGTTTTGGAAAAAGGGCCCCGATGGTGAGAAGCCCAGACCCCAGATCAGCGGCCCTTTCCAGGCTCACCACGACGTCGAGCGTGACGCCGACGTGGATGAGGACCGGAGGAGCCCCATCGTGCCGGGGCTCAAGCGTCCTGCAACGGCGCTGCATCCCATGCACACTGGGCGCAGTAGTCTTTACTCCGCGGCGCACATGTCTCGCTTCTAGATTGATGCTTCAACGAGGGACGGACACGGCGAGTTTGGGAGGCGGAACGACGGGCATCGGGAAGGGGCGTCAAGGAGATAAAGGCGTTGCGTGATTGCATTTTCTTTGAAATACCCCGTACTTGAACGGTACAAGACTCTCTTTGTTGTTGTAATTTAGCATCAAGCCAGGCAAAACTTGAGGTTTGTTTGCGTCCTCGGTTGACTACGCGAAACACGCAACGGCCGGATGAAAGAGCCAAGGTTCGCCTTGGTCCCAAGTGATTGCTAGCGCGCTACTTAGCACTGTGACTGGCGTGACTCGCTGCGGCGAGAGCACAGTGCGACGCCAGACGTGGACCTCAATTCCCACGTGACACGCGACCACTTATTCCTCGCAGGGCGCGGCCGCCTCGACGCTCAAACATCTCTCTCCCATCATCGTCTTCTCCCATCGCCCGACCCTTCCCTGTCCTCTTGCTCCTCTCCCCCGCAACCTCGGCCTCTGGAACTGCCGTAACACTACTCGCCCATCGTTTCGCGACCACCGTGACGTCCATCTCGCATCTCGCATCCCCCAACGCGCATCTTGAACCAGCGCGCTCCGTCTGCGGAGCCTGCCCGACTCCACGAGCGACTTCCTGTAGAAAGCAGTCGCTCCCCAAACACCCCTGCATGGCGTCGACCTGAGCTGCACGAGGCGCTACAAGGTGGTCCCGGGATATTGAGGTTGGTTCTAGACGTGGCGGAGGCTGCCCGGGCCTGGAAAGGCACTGTGGAATAAACCCGAACCGCTTCCAAACAATCTGCCTGCCTATTGTTCATTGTTTTCGCTCCGCGCCTGTCGCTTCCACCTACAAAGCGGCCGGCAGACTGAGACCAGCTCTGTCGAGCACGCCTCTGCTGTTACTCGTGCAGCCTCGGATATCGCACTGTCTGCTTTCTGAACTCGGCGACCCAACCCACCTTGACCATGTCGTCCGACGCGGAGGAGGTGGCGGAAGACTACCGCCATGCTTTGGAGGACCTGTCCTCGAACATGCGGTTCGAGATCAGCAACCTGACTGTGATTGCTCGCGAGAACACGGAGCACGCCCTGGCCATCGCCGAAGTGCTCCAGCAGCACATCCTCAAGGTACGATATTCCCTCGGCCAGCCCTGTTGGCCGCCGGCAAGCCTCTGTCGGTCGCTGTGACTAGATACACGCTGTGCAACGTCGAATCTCCTGACTCGAAATGCTGACATGTGCGCAGGCCGCTCCCAACAAGAAACTCCCCGCCCTGTACGTCCTGGATTCGATCGTCAAAAATGTCGGCACGCCGTACACGCTGTACTTTGGCCGCAACCTCTTCAAGACCTTTATGGAGTCATACGCCGTCGTCGACCACAACATCCGTCGCAAGATGGAAGAGATGCTCAAGACATGGAAAGACCCGGTTCCGGGGTCCATGGACACCCGCCCTGTCTTTTCTCATGAGCTGGTGCGCCCCATCGAGAATGCTCTGATGAAGGCGAGAGCAGCGAGCATGCCTCAACAGGGACCCATCCCCGGGAGACCACGATCCGCACTGCTCCCGAATCGAAACACACCGACACCGCCAGCCATGCGTGGACAGGCACAACCGCCACCAGTACCATACCCTCCTCACCTTCACCAACAGCCGGTCAACGGCGGACGCCCTGGCGAGACTGCGCCGGCTGCCTTTGGTTTCCCCGTGCAGCAACAGCAGCAGCCGCAACAACAGGTAAGCGTCTCGTGTGCTCGCTGTACGTTTCATCGCTAACACGACGCGCCATTCTAGTACCCGCAACACTCAACGCCTCAGCCGGGCATGCCCGCCCAGGCCCTCTATCAGCCTCCGTACCCCGGTGCGTACGCACAGGGGCCTCCGGCTCCGGCCGGGATAAGCGTAGACACGTTGAGCAATGACATCCAAAACCTGATTGTTGCGATGAAGGCCGAGTTCACGCAGAACCCGCATGATGCCGGCGTTCAGAACAGATTAAAAGCGCTGCTGGACCTGCAGGGGGTGATGCAGCGGACGAGTCTTCCCCGGGATCAGCTTGAGCTCATTAAGAACAAAGTAACTGAACTTGCTGCCGTAACATTGAGGCCTGCGTCGGCCCCGGGCTCTACTCAAGGCTCGACCCTCGTACCGCCGATGGCACACGTCGCAGCGCCGCACTCTGCTTCTGTAACCCCAGCACCGGCGGCGGGCAATGGCAACGCGCCGGTGACGTTGGACGGCCTGCTTGGCCACGGTGCTCTGGCAGCTCTCCTGGCGCGGCAGTCGGCCACGCCTCAGAACACGACGCCTAATCCTCCATACGCGAGCCAGGCGATCCGCTCACCGCCGCCGATTCAGGCCGAGCAGGCAAAGCCGTCCGCCCCGGCACAAGCACCGAGTGCATTGTCTCTGCTCGACCAGCTCCGTCAAGCTGGCGTGCTTCCCAACGCGACTCCGCCAAACGCAGCACCGGCTGTGGCACCACCTCCCCCTGCGCCGGCGTCGATACTACCACCAAACATTGCCAACCTGCTGTCTTCGGCCAAGGCTCAAGGGCTGACTGGATTGGCGCCGCCCGTTGATCCCGGACTGAGCGCCGCTGCGTTGAAGTCTCAGTGAGTTTCGAGCCCACGATCTTGCCGGACAAGAAGAGTGCTAACATCTTGTGATGTAGATTCCGACCTGATGCTGTTGCCGCCCTCTATGACAAGTTGGGACCGCCTTGCACTCAGTGCGGCAGACGGTTCCGGACCGACGAGGAGGGCAGGAAGAAGAAAATGGCACATATGGACTGGCATTTCCGAGTCCACCAGCGCAGCAACGAGGCCGAGAAGAGGGGCACGCACCGGAGCTGGTACGTGGACAGCCAGGTATGTTACAACTAGGACTTCTACCGGTGGTGAATCTTCTGTCTAACGTGTAATAGGATTGGTTGAAATCTCGAGAAGTCATTGACTCGGATCACGTTGGCACGTCGGACAACTCGACGTCTCAGACAGTCGAGGTTGACAAGGGACCGAAGTACATTCCCGTCCCGGACCCTAGCAGTGGCATTAACACGGTGTGCCCAATCTGCCAGGAGAGGTTCGAGAACAAGTGGCTGGACACGGCGCAGGAGTGGGTGTGGCTCGACGCCGTCCTCGTCGGCAACCGGGCATATCATGCCTCGTGCCACGCCGAAGCGACTAGAGATCGCGAGGGCACGCCGGGCGTGTCGCGTCGGACACCTGAGCCCGTACTGGGCAAGCGCAAGGCGGAGACGAGCATCTCGTCGCCAAAGATCCGGACCATGAAGACGTCTGTTTAGGGATACAGGCTGTGGTGGACTTTAGACTAGGGGACTGCACGGATTGATACCAGGGGCAGGCAGGGAAGGGCTTTACTGGAGGAGCGTCCTCGTCGACAGGGAGTGGCATTGGAGCGGCAGCGGCAGCATTGATGACCAGCATGGATGGCGTTTTGGGGCATTGCCAAGAGCAGAGCAACGGCTGGCAGGAGGTTATATTGACACCGCGTCGAGGTGTTTCGTACATGCAAATACCTAACGGACTTGCAACCGGGTTCTCATTGCGGTGCTCAAGAGTGCCGTTGCCGGTGCTGTTGTGACGGCGAGTGACATGTTGAGCGAATCCAGAACAGCCCTTACATACTACGTATACTGCCCCCCATATGGATCAGATGAAAATAGATGGAATGACATGTGTCTTTGTAGCTCTTGTTCGCCCTGAGACGAGATACCGTTGAGCGTTGACAAACCGGGTCCGAAGCCGACGGCGGCCACAGCCCCACCCCGAGAGCAAAGTCACAGGACAGCGCGTCACGGCACTTAAGCTCTGACGCGTGCCGCTCCCACGTCCCATAATTTATCCCATCAGCGCCACGCATTGAACGATTGCTTCCCCCTGCTGCGCGCACCACCACCCGCCGTTTTGAAGAGTCTACCGGCATCTACGCCCGTCGCTGGACAATGGCGGTCGACTGCCCCATCTGCAACAAGCCCGTCAAGCCGTCCGAGATCAACAGCCACATCGACTCGGGCTGCACGAGCTTCATCATCGGCGTCGACAAGCAGCCCACGCCGCCGCAGTCGCAGCAGCAGAATGGCGTCCCCTCCTCCCACGCGACGCCGTCGTCGCAGAAGCGCAGCGCCTCGAGCTTCTTCTCGACGCCCGCGCCCAAGCGCGTGCTCACAAACGACAAGATGCTGACGACGCCGCTGGTCAACGGGGCCGCGGCCGGCAAGAAGAGGAGCTTCGATGAGGGGCCTGGGGCGGGCCCGGCGCTGGATCCGGCGAACGTGATGGAGGTTGAGGAGCCGGCGGCGGCGACGACAAACGGAACGAACGGAATACATGGGAGCCACGATGCGCCACCGGCGCCGCAGCAGCAGACCGAATCTGACGACGGGAGGGTCGTCAAACGGACCAAGACGCAGCGCGCCGCGCCTCTCGCCGAGAGGATGCGTCCGCAGACGCTCGACGAGGTGTGCGGGCAGGAACTCGTGGGCCCCAACGGCGTGCTGCGGTCGCTCATCGAGACGAACCGCGTGCCGTCCATGATCCTCTGGGGCGGGTCGGGGACGGGCAAGACGACGATCGCGCGGTGCATCGCGCAGGTGGTGGGCAGCCGGTTCGTGGAGCTCAACGCGACGAGCACGGGCGTGTCCGAGTGCAAGCGGCTCTTCCAGGAGGCGGCCAACGACATGGCGCTGACGGGGCGCAAGACCATCATCTTCTGCGACGAGATCCACCGCTTCAACAAGGCGCAGCAGGACGTCTTCCTCAAGCCCGTCGAGGCGGGCACCGTGACGCTCATCGGCGCGACGACGGAGAACCCGTCCTTCAAGGTCGCCAACGCGCTGCTCTCGCGCTGCCGCACCTTCACCCTCAAGCCCCTCTCCACGGAAGACGTCGTCGCCATCCTGCAGCGCGCCCGCGCCGCCGAGGAGTCCGTCTACCCGCCCACGCCGCTCCTCGACGACGACATGATAGCCTACCTGGCGCGCTTCAGCGACGGCGACGCCCGCACCGCGCTCAACCTCCTCGAGCTGGCCCTGTCGCTGGCGGCGCGCGAGGGCATCACCAAGGAGGACATCAAGCAGTCGCTCACCAAGACGCTCGTGTACGACCGCGGCGGCGACCAGCACTACGACTCCATCTCGGCCTTCCACAAGTCGGTGCGCGGGGGCGACGCCGACGCCGCCCTCTACTACCTCGCGCGCATGCTCCAGTCGGGCGAGGACCCCCTCTTCGTCGCCCGCCGCATGGTCGTCATCGCCTCCGAGGACGTCGGCCTCGCCGACAACACCCTTCTGCCGCTCGCCACCGCCGCCTACACGGCCGCCCAGCAGATCGGCATGCCCGAGGCGCGCATCCCCCTCGCCCACTGCGCCGTCGCCCTGTGCCTCGCCCCCAAGAGCACCCGCGCCTACCGCGGCCTCAACAACGCCTACGCCGCCCTGCGCGAGCCCGGCGTCGCGGGTCTGCCCGTCCCCCTGCACCTGCGCAACGCGCCCACCCGCCTCATGCGCGACATGGGCTACGGCGCCGAGTACAAGTACCCGCCCAACTACCGCGACGGCCGCGTCCGCCAGGCCTACCTCCCGGACGAGCTGCTCGGCCGCCGCTTCCTCGAGGACAGGGACCTGGGGACCGAGGTCGACCCGGACCTGACCATGGAGGATACGTGAAGAAGCGACAGATGAAGAGTGGAACAGGGGGGGGGGGATGACTGTGTATACTACCAAAGGGAGGCGTGTTCCAATGATGGGGCTGCCATCTGCATTTGCATAATGGACTGGCAAATAGTCTACAGGGCGTTGGGATATTGAAGCCGGCATATCACATTGAGCCGTTGCTTGGGAACTGGATATAATAGATGCACCTCATGTCTGCCCCTGATGCCATCGTCATAATTTGACCCCGTGGCGATTTGTGTACCGAAATCAACGGTATACAGTCAAGCGTGAACCCATAGCAAGCGGAACATTCGACTTTGGACAAGTTGTTGAGTATCTATTGACGGAGCAGCCGTACGCTCGTCGTCCCAGGACGATCCTACTCCCTAACGCCGACCAAACCCGCACCCATAAACACATATGCTCGCTACGCCAATGTACATGATCAATCATCGCCGGTAAGGTCAATCAACGACACGTCGCTCCATCTCACCACGCCGGCCTTGACGCCGCGAGCTTCCGGCAGCTTTGACCCGGAACGGATCCTAGCAGCCCTCTCCGTCTCATCCACTTCACTTTCGTTGGACCAGTAAAGCGTAGCACTGCGCTCTAGGGACTTCTTCTTCCTTGACGGGCTCGGCGGCGGGCCCTGCTCCTCGGCAGGGCTGGGTGTTTCGCCCCTTGACCGCCGCTTGCTCGGAGAGACTGGTTGTCGGGATATCAGCGTCGAGAGCGGTGCCAGGTCCAGCTCAGAAGAATCCCCGAGCTCTTCCAGTTCGGGTACGGCTTCAGGCGCATGCACAGGAGTTGCGGACCTTGGGAGTGCTGGAGCCGGGCTGCTAAACGTCTGGCTCGACGATGGCTGCGAGCTTTTCGTCGCAAACATGTCCATCGATAGTTGGGTGTACCTTGAATCCTCAGAACTCTTGGACAAGGCTGCCTTTCTGGTGGGTTCTCTACCCTTTCTAGGGCTCCGGCTGTGGTCTATCCTCTGAGAAGCACTGCCCAGGGTACGAGCCGCGCGCACCGGGCTATAGTCTTTGACAGTATTGGGATTTGGTATCCTCTGGGACCGCGGCCGAGGGGATGGGGATGGCGGCAGGGGAGATGGCGGGACGGCAGGGCTCGAAGAGATGAGAATCGTCTCTGGCCCAGATGTGGATAAAGTAGGTGCCCTAGGCGTCTTTGGTGAGCCAGGGTCTTTGGGGCTCCTCGATGAGTGCTTACTCTTGGCCGGGGGAGGAGACCGAAGAAGAGGCGGGACCTTGAGCCTTGGTTTCTGCGATGCCTTTGCGCCAGGTTCGAGCTCGGCCGGTCGGCCAGTCTCGTCGTGTACCGGTTTCGGTTTCGTCACGCGTACAAATCCATCGAGCGCCCCCCGAGGCATGCCGGTGCTCTTCTTGGGCTTGGGGGCCGATGCCGTTTTCTTCGCTGGCGACTTCCGAGGAGCTTTGGCAGTCGCGGCCTCCTCCCAAGACCGGACCGTGTCGGGGATAAATCTCCGTGCCACGCTTTCCAGAACCCACGTCAAGTCTGGCTTGGTGACGTCGAATACTTTGGGCGCTCTGACGCTGTCGACAGCACCGGAAGGGTCATTATCCGCGCCGAAGTCGTCGTCGCTGTTCAGGGCCAGGCCGTCTCGTCCGGACGCCACAACCTCGTCAACCTCCTTTGACAAGTCGATCGGGACGACCTCTTCGGGAACATACGCGAGCCGCAGTTCTGGCGTAGCGTCGGTGGTAAAGTGTTGCCGCCGCCCGGATATTCGCTTCACCCAGCCGTGCGGACTTGTCGCGCCTTCGGACAAGTTGTGAACGAGGAGGGACTGCCCTAGCACTCGAATAAACTTGACTGCGCCAATCTTGTAGTCCCAGTCAAACGTCTCGCGCGTAAACTCGCGGAGGGCTTCGAGCTGTATCGTCTGCTTCCTCTCAAGTTTCTGGCGTACAGCATCCAGCGTGGATTGTGGTGACACGACTGGATGAGTGTAATACCGCAGGACCTCAATGTTTGGAAAGTCTTCGGGAATGATTAGCGCGCGGTGTTTCGTCCTGAAGTGGCCTTGCTCGTTTGTTCTGAGCTGGTGCGTCAACGACTCCCTCCAGGCTTTGATGCCGCTGGCGTCGGATGCTTTGAGTCTGCAGATGGACTTGCCGAAGCCTGCCTTGGCAGCCTCATAAGCCACCTTGACGCCGCAGCCCGGTATGCCGTCCGGCAGGTAGTCGCCACCGCTCATCAGAGCGATGAGGACCATGCCTTCACGGTCGAGACCAACTTCCGCAATCTTGGGGTCGTGTACGTCGTAGAGGGATACATGGGTCGGCGTCTTTGAGGTTTTGCCTTCGGACGACCAGTTCCGAAGAGTCTTTGTGCATCCAAACATGATTGTGTCCACATCCTCGCTCAAGACGGCGTCCACGATGCCGTGCTTTTGGAGCAGGGCGCACTCTGCCTCTGCCTCGCCTGGGGCGTCATGGACTGCAAAGCCAAAGAGTCGGATAAGTTGTTTGGCTTGCGCGGTCGCGACGCCGTCGCCTCGACCCGACCGCTTGTTTCGCTTGAACACGGGCTTATTCGGGCCGTCGAAGACGAAGATGGGCTGGACGGGTGTCCCCAGCAGGCGGACGAGGCGGTAAAAAAGGGTTCGAATCGCAGGGTTTGTCCCGCCTGGAGAGCGTGAGTCAATGATCAAAGGGACAGGGGGTTCGAGGCGCATACCTCGGGCGGCCTGCGTCTGGAACTGCCATATTGCAATGTCTATGGCGATGCGAAACGGTCTGTTTTGGTGCTCGAAGGTGTCGGCAGCAAGCTTGGAAAGCGACACCCGCGTTCCCGGGCCCAGCTCGCGGTAAATCCTGAAAGGTCAGCATCCATCAGAATAGCTTGCCAGGGTTTGGATTGCATACCCCTTGATACCCATGACGCGGGCGCAGCGCCGAGGTGCGGTGCGCTGCGTGAAGTTGAAGCGTCAGAGTTGACGTCGCGGCGGGCGCCGTCGCTAGAGCGACCATGGGCTTCACTGGGTGTCGGTGCGTAATTAGGCGGCAGACCCAACCAAGCAGTGGGCCTCGACGCGCTAACCGCATCAGAGCCCCTAATTAACACCTCCCTACACGTCTCCCAGCATCGCCAACTGTTCATCCACGGCCACCTCGCCATCAGCTCACCCTCGCACGCTCAAACAAAGGCGCGGCGGCCATGTCTTCTGGTGCGGGCCATGCGCTGGCCCACAGGAGCGTGGCCAGCATTCGTGCGGTGCCGCCGCAGGGCCAGTCGCCGTCCACGCCTCATACGCCCCCGAGGGTCATCTCCTCGACGTACAGCTCGCCGTCCACCATCAGAGCCGACGATGACTTTGTCCTCATCGAAATCGGCTCGCGCTTTGCGCGCATAGGCTTTGCGGGGGACTCGCTACCAAAGGCCACCTTGTCGTGCGGCCCCGAGCAGGGACGCCGCGCCGGAGACTTCAGGGCGTGGCAGCAGCCCGCAGCACCCTCCACAGATGCATGGAGTGACGATTATGAGATATGGCGCTATGACTTGAGAGGCCTCGACTTGGGCCTGTTTCACGACAAGCTGGACCGCCTGCTTAGGGACGCATTCACAAGGTCGGTGGAAGTGGTCATGTCTACAAGTCCCCAACTCACGCATTCAGATATCTCCTCATCGACTCGCGCCCTAGGAGAATGGGACTCGTCTTGGATCCTGAAGTGCCGGTACCTCTGCTCTCAGCCGTCTTGGACACTCTTTTCAACAACTTCCAGGCCCCCATCATCTCCCTCATGTCATCCCCGACAATGTCCGCCGTGGCAGCCGGCGTTCGCTCTGCCCTGGTCGTGGACATGGGCTGGCAAGAGACGGTCGTCACCAGCGTCTATGAGTACAGGGAGGTGAGGACCACGCGGACTGTCAGGGGAGGCAGGCTCCTCCTTGACAGGCTGTACAAGCTGCTGCACCAGATGCTAAAAGGGGAAGAATATGATGGAAAGGGGCCGCGAGTACTGAGCTTCGAGGAGTGCGAGGACATTCTCTGTCGCCTCATCTGGTGCCGGGCTTCTGGCTTCAAATCGCCCCAGCGTCAGTCGACGCAGTTAGACACGGTGGAAGAGCAGGACGAGTCCGAGGCGGAGTCGAATCGAGCGACAGGTGAAGCCGAGATCCCGCTGCGGTCTACAAACCCACCGATTACGCTACAGGTGCCGTTTGACAAGCTAGCCGATATCTGTGACGACACATTCTTCGAAGCATCTGCGTCTGCGTCGACGTTTGACGACCACGAGCTGCCACTGCACTTGCTTGTGCACCACCACCTCGTACAGCTGCCCATGGACGTCAGAGCCGTTTGCATGTCACGAATCATGTTCACAGGAGGCTGCTCAAATATCCTGGGCATAAAAGAGAGAGTCATGGACGAGGTGACCAGCATCACAGATAAGCGCGGATGGACACCGGTTTCTGGCAAAGGGTTCGAGCAGCTGCGCCACAACCAAAAGCTTCGACGCACAAGCGTGCAGAGATTCAGCATGTCGTCGGCGGCGACATCCGAGCCCGACAGCGAGGACCTTGACGGCCGGTCGGAGGCGACGTCGGCAGAACCCTCCGGGGACATTGAAGCGAAAATTGCGCGGAACCGGCCAGTCCCTCGGCAGCTGCAGGGACAGATCAGGGCGCTGCACACGCTTGGGCCGTGGGCAGGCGCAAGCCTCATGTGCCAGCTCAAGATACCGGCCATGGCCACGATAGACCGTGAGCTGTGGTTGCAGCAGGGGGCCGCTGGCGCGAGCCGACCCAGCGAGGTTGATGCCAAGGCGCAGCAGAGGCAAAGCATGGGCGCCGGAGGACTGATCCGAGGCAGCGGAGGCCATCACACGAACTGGACGCTGGGCGTTTGGGGCGCGTATTGAGTCGCGCGGGCAGCGCTGGTGGTGAGGATGCTTGGGACGAGGCGGAGGAGGGCTGGTAGCACAGCAGCCACTCCGCCATTGCACACTCTATGTAGACGCGCCTTACGACGTCAGATGCCGAGAGCTCTCATGCGCCCCAAAGCAATATTCAACAATATATACAGCCGTGCTGCAGCTAAACATGCGAGACGTTGGCGACGATGCCCTGATCGGGCGACTTCGGGTAATTGCATGATCCGCGCCGCCCAGCACCGCAAAAGGTCAATTGAGCCCAACGCCGGAGCTCCAACTCACTCCACATCTCAACCTCCAACCTCCAAACACGCCATGAGCGGCTCACGCGGAGCTCAACCACCACCATGAACAGGGCTTTTACGTGCCTCCGCTGCCGGGCGCCGCGACCCCGGGTGCGGGCCGCCGCCGCGCGCGGCTTCGCAGACAACGGCAAGCGCCCGTCGATGGCGCCCAAACCCATCATCGACATCAGGCACATACGACAGAACCCGGAGCTGTACGAGCTCACCTGCCTGGAACGCAACTACCCGCGCCAGGCCGAGAACCCGGCGCGCATCCTGCAGCTGCACTCGCGATGGCAGGAACTCCAGCGCCAGGGCCGCTCCCTGCGCGAGCGGTCCAACCTGCTTCGCAAGTTCCTGGCGAACCCGGCGACGAGCAGCGGCGACGAGGACGTGGCGGACCTGCGGGCCATGACGCGCGAACAGGTGCAGGAGGAGGCGCGGCAGCTCAAGGGCGAGCTGTCGGGCATCGAGCAGGGCGAGGCGGCCGCCGTGGGCGAGATGGAGGCGCTAGCGCTCGAGATGCCCAACCTAACGAGCGACTACACGCCGCGGGGCCACGAGCCCGTCGTGCTCAGCTACATTAACGAGCAGCCGCGGTTCGACGAGGACGCGTCCGAGGAGGCGGTCTGGCGCTCGCACTTGCACATTGGCTCCGAGCTGGGCATCCTCGACTTTGCGGGCGCGGCCGCGTCCTCGGGCTGGGGCTGGTACTATCTACTGGGTGAGGCGGCGCAGCTCGAGCAGGCGCTGGTACAGTACGCGCTTGCCGTCGCGACGCGGCACGGGTGGACGCAGGTGGCGCCGCCGAGCATCGTCTACAGCCACATCGGCGCGGCGTGCGGGTTCCAGCCGCGGGACCAGAACGGCGAGCAGCAAGTCTACGCAATCGCGCGGTCGCAGGCCGACGCCGACAGGGGCGTGCCGGAGCTGTGCCTGGCGGGCACGTCGGAGATTCCGCTCGCGGGCATGCGCGCCAACTCCACCATCGACGCCGAGGACCTGCCGATGCGGCACGTGGCCGTGTCGCGCTGCTACCGCGCCGAGGCCGGGGCGCGCGGCGCCGACACCAAGGGCCTGTACCGGGTGCACGAGTTCACCAAGGTCGAAATGTTCGCGTGGACGGCGCCGGACGAGGGCAAGGCGCGGGACGTGTACGAGGAGATGCTCGACATCCAGACGGAGATTCTCTCGTCGCTGGGGCTCTACTGCCGGGTGCTGTCGATGCCGGCGACGGACCTGGGCGCGTCGGCCAGCCGCAAGGTGGACATGGAGGCCTACTTCCCGAGCCGGCGGCAGCACGGGCTGGGCGACGGCTGGGGCGAGGTGACGTCGGCGAGCATGTGCGGCGACTACCAGACGCGGCGGCTGGCGACGCGGACGCGGCTGCAGGGGCGCATGACGTTTCCCTTTACGGCCAACGGCACGGCGCTGGCGGTGCCGCGCGTGCTGGCCGCGCTGCTCGAGAACGGCTGGGACGAGGAGACGGCCACGGTGGCGGTGCCCGAGTGCCTGCGCCCGTGGATGGACGGCAAGGAGCGCATCGGCGGGCGGAGGAGGGGGACGAGGGCGGCGGCGAAGAAGGCTGGTGAGCATCAGGAGGAATGAAGAAACGGCGGCAAGGTTGACCTGTTTCTGCCTCGACGAGCTTGTTCCCTGTGTTGCCTTGATCCTTGTATAACGAAGAAGCCTCGCTGTATCATTCATCATCATCACACTGCCTCCCATAGCCGCATTGTAGCATCCAACTAATACGCAAACGAGCAAGCCCAGTCTCTGAGCTTCTATACCTGCCTTTACCAAGGTGTTTATCAAGTGTGTATACCTGGTGTACCAGTGTAATGTATGTCATCACGATCTCCAAAACCATCGCCCATCTCCATCACCACCATCCTCATTCCCTGTCATCTGCCATCACCACCGCCCTCACGCCGGCGGCGCCCACGCCGCCCTCAGCGCCTCGCCCGGCCTCCCGATCCTCACCCGCGCATCCCCCTTCCACCGGTAATACCCCGACATCGTCTTTACCGCGCCCCCCCAGCCCAGCCGCCCGCCCCTCCTCCACGTCCTCTGCGCGGCCTCCCCCCCGCGCTGCACAAGGTACCTTGCCGCGGGCCGCACCACCCTGCCTTCACCTCCGCCGCCGCCGGTGCCTCCTCCCCCCTCAAACGCCGCAGCCTCAGCCTGGTAATAGCGTCGCACGCCGTGGCCGGCTCCGTGTTCATCTTCGTCGTCGCCTTCGTAGTCGTCACGGCCCTGCTGCTGCGCCTTGCCGCCCTCCGCGTCGGGCGGAAGTTCCAGCCACCACACCTCGAGCGAGCGCAGCTGGTCCGCGTAAATCACCAGCAGGGCGGCCGCCGACGCCGCTAGGCTCGCCACCCAAAAGACCCAGAAGTTGGTCCCCTCGGGCCCGTAGTCGCCCTCGATGGAGAGCACGCCCGCGACGACGGTCACGGGGAGGAGTAAGCCGCCGAGGTAGGCGATGCGGTCGAGGCTGCGCTCGTCGAAGAGCTCCGGGTCGCAGGCGGGTGGTGGTAGTGGTGCTGGTGGTTGCTTGTCCGCGGTTTGGTGACGCCTTTGCAAGGGCGGCGTGAGTATCCCTCCTGCGGCGGCGGCGATGGTTGATGACGGCGGCGAGGAGACGGGCGGCGATATCTGAGCGAGGTGCACGCGCGCCTGCGCCCGCTGCAGCAGGTCCCCCCACGCCGACGGGCTCGCCGCGTCGAGGACCCGGCCGCCCTGCCGCGCGAGGTGCCGCGCCTCGTCGAGGTTCTGCTCCAGCGCGGCCATGGCCGCCCAGAGGGCCGACGGTGAGGGGGAAGGCAACGCGGCCCCAGACAACGACGATGGCGTCGACGACGACGATGTAGCTCCCGAGTTGTGTCGTAGCCGTCGCCGGCCCACGAGCCACGCCGCCCACCGCTCGTAGACGAGCTCCCCGACGAGTTCCTCAACCGACACGTCTCCAGCGCTGCCAGCGCTGCCGCCCATCAGCTCGAGCGCATCCCACAACTCCTCATCGAACGACAACGCGCCGCCAGTTGTTGCCGCTCCGGCCCACGGTGGTCGGGGTGAGGCCTCCCGTCTCCGCCTCTTGCTGCCGGTCCCGTCTCCTGTCCGCGGGCTAGCCGAGGTAGGAGGCATCATGGCAGCGGTGGACGCGGGGGGACTCGTCCCCGTGGCGCCGTATCGCCCTCCGCTCGGCTGCTTCCCCAGCCGGCTGCCCGTCGTTGCGGCATCCTGGTGGCGGAGCTTGGGCGCCGGACGCGCGGGCGGCGGTCCCGGTACCGGTCCGGTGAGGTTGCCCGGCGGGACGGCGACGGCGGGCGACGGGCTCGTGTAGGCGGCGCGGTCGTCGATGAATAGGATTGGGATCTGCGATGAAAGCCACAGCGAGGCGCGACACACGGCAACCCCTTGCCCCCCGTCTCGCCGCCCCCGTCCCGATGCCGTTGAGGTGACGATCGACTCGGGATACGCCCAGCACCACCACCGCACGCGCCGGGACCTCGCCCTCGGCCTCCACGCCGCGCCCTCCACATGCGCCGCCACGAACCCGTCGTCCACGCCCGCAATGCCCCTCAGCACGCCCGCCACCTCCGCGTCGAGCACCTCTCCGCGCCCTCTTTCACCTGTCGCTGCTGCTGCTGCTCCTCCCTCCGTCGTTGTCGCCGCTCCCCCCGCCGCCGCCGGAGCTCGAATCACCAACATCCGGCCCGACCCCGGAGCCCCGCCGCCGCCGCCGCCGCCGCCGCCGCCGTCCCGCCCAGCCAGCAACTCCGTCCGCAGGCCCTCCACGCCGCACAGCGCATGCCGGCGCGGCCGCGTGTGCATCGGCCCGGAGGTCCACTCGAGCACGTAGCCGATGGAGCTCTGCGGGGGTTGTTGCGGCGGCGCGTGTGCGTCCGCGATTGCGTTTGAGCGCGGGCGTGCATATGTCGGCGTCATCGATGCCGTCGTCGCTATCGTCGCCGTTGGGGGATACTCGTCGCGCCGCAGCGGGGAGACGCCGCGCTTGTGTCGCAAGGCCATGGCTCGTCTGTAGGTATGTCGCGCGTATGGTTCATTCGCCTCGCTGTGTGTGGGAAGCTGCGCGAGCGAAAAGGGAAAGGGGACGCAGTTCGGACACTTGGGAGAAATATCATGGCTCCGCGCAGTCCACTTCACGGCCATGGCTCACCAGACGTGTCATGCGCCTTCCCCAAGGCGCCGGGCGTAGCATTTCTCTGTTCGAGAATCGCAATGTAAGCCTCAAGGGTGCATGGCCAGCTACCGGCGTGGCGGCTGCGAGGTCAGATGTCGCGCCGCCATCATGTGAGGCCGACCCCAGATGACCGGCCCCCGCAGCCAGGAGATACCACCCCTCCTTCGACTCTCCCCAACATCTCCTCACAGAATGGTCAAGGTGGGAATCCACCGTCAAAGAGCAAAGCATATCGTATTCGCAACAAGTATCCTTGCTCTATTGTAGTTCCGACGTAATCTCTCATGGACTGGTGACAGACAGTTTACATCAAACTTGCTCTTTCCCTCCGACCCGTAAACGCCAAACCAGATGTGACGCCGCTTTTGCGTGAACGAACATGAGCCATACCGGACAAACACGGCGTTTCCGTACAACGTGCGACGCCGAAACAGAACCACCGCCAGAGGGCTTCGGCCCCCGGGCCACCCCGTTGCCGCCCACTGCGCGCGACCATGGCTCCAAAAGGAATGAGAGCTTCGCGATGCCATAAATGCAGTTGCGAGACAAAGAAGATGCCGACTCCAAGGTGGAGACGGAGAGCGACATGCGCCGCCGCTGCATGCGCCAGAGCTGCGGCTCACACGGACAGACACTGCGCCAGGCCGTGTCCGGATCCCGCAACACCACGACCCTGCGCGAGCGCCCCGCCGGCCTATGACGAGGCGCTGATATGCTGGGGGTTGATGTGCTGATGGTGGTGGTGGTGATCGTCACCGTCGTGGTGGAGCGTCACGCTGTTGAAGTCGACAAACGGATCTTCGATTTCGGCCCCGGGGGTCGCCAGCCCGCTGTCCAGCGGCACGCCCTTGAGCTTGGAGCCGCTAATGTCCACGCTCTCGCTTTCCTTGACGTTGCGGAAGTTGACCGTGTCGACGCCTCGGCCGGGGTGGGGGACAATCGGCGGCTTCATGTGGCGGATCAGCGCCCACTGCGTGGTACGGAAGAACGGGTGTGCCTTGATGTCGGAGGCGCCCGCTCGTGCGCCCAGTCGGCGGTTCTCGTCCTTGATCAACAGCTTCCTGATCAACGACTTGCAGAGACTGAATCAAACGTCGTCAGCGTCGTGTCTCAAAGGCCCGCAAAATCAGCGATCAACCTACTTGGAGATCTGGGGCGCCCCAGCGTGATCGGGAAAGGGAATGTCCTCGCGCAGGATGTTTGCAAACGTCGCATTCCTATTCTTGCCCTTGAAAGGGGTGGTGCCGTAAAGCATCTCGTAGATGAGAATGCCCAGCGTCCACCAGTCGACGGCGCTCGTGTGCCCGCTGCCCTTGATGACCTCGGGAGCAATGTATTCTTCGGTGCCGACAAACGAGTTGGTTCTAAAGTTTGCAATGCAGGACCGGGTGTCGACCTGGGGCAGGGCGTCCGTTCTCGCGCCGTTCTTGCCGAGAATCATGGTCGGCTTGCCGCCGGGGTCCGACTGCTTCGACAGGTCAAAGTCCGAAAGCATAATGTGCCCGGACTGGTGGAGTAAGATGTCTAGGCACCGAGTTAGCCATTGGCAGTCAGTCGTGCGCTTGGCCGGGGAGACCAACTCTCGGGTTTGAGGTCCCTGTAGATGAAGCCCATGAGGTGGAGATATTCAAGCGCCGCAGTCACCTCGGCGGCGTAGAATCGGGCGTCCTCCTCGGGGATACACTTCCCCGGGCGGGTCTGGAGGGCTCTAAAGAACTCTCCGCCGCTGCAGTATTCCATACACAGATAAAGATGATCCTCGGACTGGAAGGAGTGGTATAGGGTGACGATGAACGGGTGGTTGCTCGTGGCCAGGATTTCCTGCTCGGCGAGGGCTCGCTTGATCTTGTTGCGCTTGATCATTTCCTTCTTGCTCAGAACTGCCGGCGGCACGTTAGCATCTCTCCAATTGCGGTCGCGCGAGTGGATTGGTAATCACCCTTCATGGCGTATAGCCGGCTGCTCTTCTTCTCCCTCACCAAGTAGACCTTGCCGACGTCGCCCTTGCCGATGAGCTTAATCTTGTCGAAGCTCGCGGGCCCGACCTCGACGTTGCGGACCTTGATGGAGTTGGAGCTGTAGGTCCTGCGGAAGGCCATGGCCGTGTGGGGGGCCGGGAGGGCGGCCAGGATGTCTTCGCTGGGGAGCCCGAGGGACTTGGCCTTGGCGGCCTCGACCTTTTGCTCCATCAGACCGACGGAGCCCGACTCGGCATTCTGGACCAGAGGGTCCTTGCCCAGCTCCGCCGTGGCAGGCCGGTCGCCGTCGGCGCCGCCGGCGGCCGCCTTGGCCTCGTCCTTTGCGAAGAGGCCCTGGGCATTGGGGGCACTAGCAACCCTCCGTAACCGGCGGGCCAGCTCCTCCTTGGTCTCGTTGGTGGCCTGCTCGCTCGCGGCGCCGCCATCCGGGCCCGAGACCTTCAATTGCGGCGTGTCGGGGGGGCTCGGGGGCACGGAGCCGTCGTTGTGGTGCCGCAGGCCGGGCTGGCCCTGGTGGGCGAAGTAGGGGTTCGCGTGGGCCGTGGGACTCAGGGCCTCCTCGATCTGGTTGCCCTCGCTGGCGACGGTATGGGCGCGCAGGCGGCCGACGGTGTTGCTAAAGAACTTTGTATGGCGGAAGGGCTTGGGTCCGGGCAGCTCGCCACCGCCGGCGGCGCCCGTCGCGACGGAGAGCCCATTGCCCGACGAGGACCCGGCCTTGTCCTTTTCCTTTTCCTTTTCCTTGTCGCTGCTGCCGCTGCTGGCGGTGCTGCTCATGCGGAAGAAGTTGCGCAGCCGATGGCTCACCTGGCCGCCGCCGGAGGAGGAGGAGCCGTTGGCCGTTTTGGACGGCATGGTTGTGGGGTGGGAGATGACGATGATGTCTGTCGCTCGATGCAGGAGAAGCGATCAAGCAGCCGGTGCCATGGTCCGTCCCGTCACCGGCAGCACGAGGAGCAAAGGATGGATTGATGAGCGGGCGGTCGCTGGGCGGCAACGCAGGCGGAGGATGGATTGAGGTGCGCAGAGTCGCGATTTGGGGGGGACGGCGGGGATGAATGGGTGGACGACGAGAGTTGAGTGGTGAGTGGTGAGGGAGCGTCAGCTACTTGCCAGGACGGTCAGGTCAGCCTCTCGCTGCGGGCGGGAGGGTGGAGGAGGAGGAGGCGGGCGATGGCGGACTGCCTGACGACAACGTGGAGCCCGGGGGGGCGTGGATTGTGGACTGTGCAACAGGACAATGTACCTCAGGTACCTGCCAGTCTGTGGCTGCCTTTTGGCTCCATTCATGCCGCTCCCCGCTCTGCCCGGGTTGTCTCGCCGTCGGAGGCTGCCCTGCCCCAAGGCGGCTGTAGTCGCTGCCTGTAGGTAGCAGTGCAAG